TGTACAACAATGCTTCAAATAAATTTGTATTTTATGTTCTACAAATTTGTATGGAAATAAATTTTAAATGCTTATGTTTTAAGAGGCAAAATGGTTAGAATAAAAACCGTTTCATGTTTGTACCAAATTCATCTATCCAAATCGGATGATCTTTAACATGTTGTTGTGCTATATAAATATAAAAACATTAATTTAAATGGATAGTGTTTCGGGTTTTTCCGGATACCAAATGAAAAATAAATTTGTCTGGGGCCAGGACACACCATGAGATCCATGGTAATATCTTATTCCCTGTATGGAAAATTCTTTTAATATCTAATGTACATTTTGTGGGTTATAATAATGTCTATGGAGACCATTATATTTGATCTCTGAAGCCCCATCTTAAATATTCAAAGGTCTCATTCAAATCATTGTGAAAATATACTATTCATGGTTAACCCGATTATTTTTTTCAAAATTCAACTTATTGGTTGAGTGATTTTTGTTCAATAACAGATAGACAGATGTAGGAAAACAAATTGAATTGAAAAAAATAACCACAGTTGTTTACTTTGGAATTTCAAATCAAATTTGTCTGCATTAAAGTTTTTGTTTGTGTTGCGATCACTAGCACATCTGTATCAACAGTGTGTCAAATATCAAAATGGATGAGTTAACTTTAATACGGTTACTTCGTTTCGATAGTTTATTTATTTTGGTAGTTTAAAAATAAAACAACAGAAATTGACAGTATTATATTTATGCCATACATCTATATATTTAATTCTGTAAGCGAATCGGTCCCCACTAAATATCTCGAGTTAGGAAAAAGGTGGCTTTTAGGCTTTTAAAATGGCTTTAAAATGATAGCTTTAAAATGGCTTTTAGGGGTTCATTTTAAAGCTTAAGGTCCAAGGAAGGTGGGAAAAATATCAGAAGTGTAAAAACTTTCCCCACAGTCCGTCAAAGATCCAATCATTTTCTAATGGAAGTACACAACAGTGATTATAAGCAGTTTAAATATACCAGCTGATGTAAACATTGCGTATTTATTTGTTTATTTATTTTTGTGTTCTATTTTAGGTTAGAATGGTAATGCAGTTTTGAAATGTATTGTGTTAGGGGCAAACCGCGACTACGAAGGAGAGTATTTGGTACACAGTATAGGAAATGGTTTTAAAGGACAAATTATATGGGGGGTGAAGGGAGTAGTAATAATTGTTACCAAAATGTTAGTCACCTTCTTATAAACGAAAACGACGCTAATACTTAAAAATGTGGTTTGAGAAGCAAATTAATACTTCAGTGTGGTCGAAACTATCATCAATTAACCCACTGAACATTTAAATAGGCCCATGCCTATTCTGATAGAATTTGGAAATTCAATCACACCATCAGGAGGAATAGGACCACATAAACTTACACTAAAAGTAGTTTTTATTTTGATGTAGATCAGAAACATAAATCTAAGTCTTGGTTTGGTTTGGTCAAAGAGGCGCCTTTGTACACTAATTTTGTTGAACCTTACAAAATGAGTATACAATTTAAAAAATAATAACTGAGTAAGGGTGCTAATGTGGTGGTTATTACCAATAAACAAGCTTAAATCTCAACAGACTCTAGTTTTACATATAATACACACTTCTACTTTCTTTTCTACTTTTACAAAGACAATTTTTCAAATTCTAATCAGGAAAGCATTTTTTCTCATTATTACCTCAAGACCAAAGCTACTTTAGTAAACCAGTATTTATTTACAAACCATATACTGTAAGTTTTTTCTCCTTAAGCAGAGATAAAATTTGGAAGAAGTTACATTATCTTTTGAAAATAACTACAACCAATGCAAGTTTATTTATTACAACACCAATGCAACCAATACTGTTTATTCACAAAAAATATGGTGTACAGGGATATATATCGTGACCCAAAGATCTATTGGTTCTTAGTTTGTTTAAATATTACAATAATTTGTTTTACATTTGAGTTTTTTAGGGACTTCTGTTCCTGCAAGCCACTAGGGTTGAATTAATTTAATTAATTTACCCTTACCCCCCTTTGGTTTACACTATTAGATTAGATCTGGACAAGTTGCATGTTACTAAATCAAATTACTACATTTAAATTTGAACTAAATTTGAACTAAAATATAGTGAATTTGTTTGGAGATACAGAGGGGGTTTTGATGGTCGTTTATAATTTAGTTTTATTTGATATAATTGTCACTACAAAAATTTCCAAAGCAGCTCAGCTTATGTTAAGGTGTTTTATTAGAAAGCAACATTGTTGGTAGTGTCTAGTAGAACCTCTCCGAGAAATCTTGTTAGCAAAACACGGTCAATGATTTCTATGAAGATGGAAGTTGACAGAACATGCAAACTATTTAAAATAGATTTTCTGACTCTAAGTGATAAGTAATCAAATTACTACATTTAAATTTGAACTAAAATATAGTGAATTTGTTTGGAGATACAGAGGGGTTTTTGATGGTCGTTTATAATTTAGTTTTATTTGATATAATTGTCACTAAACAAATTTCCAACGGTGTTTTATTAGAAAGCAACATTGTTGGTAGTGTCTAGTAGAACCTCTCTGAGAAATCTTGTTAGCAAAACAGGGTCAATGATTTCTATGAAGATGGAAGTTGACAGAACATGCAAACTATTTAAATAGATTTTCTGACTCTAAGTGATAAGTATTTGCCTGTTCTGATGCTTTTTTTCTAAACCTCTACAAGATTCTTTCAATTGTTAAGTCTTGTTAATTCATTTTTGCCCCTTCAAAACCAAACCCAGTAACTCACCCAGTAATTCACTTTTAATTCATACTCTAAAGTGCCGTGTTAACTAATTAAACATACCTGTAGCAAAATTGAGATGATTCTAAGCATTACCATAGTCTGTAACAATGATATAACCAAACAATGAATAGGAGTAGGAGAGAATTGTATTCAAATTCCTAAGGTAACCAAACAAGTATCTAAATTATCTGATTAAAAAAAAGTTTTGTTCAGTTTCTAAGGTTTGTAAAAATAAAAACAGAATAATGTTGATGCAGTAAATTATTATAAATTACTTTCAGGGCCGCTTTAGTAAATGGGCTAAGGGGCGCAAAAGGTTTTAGGTGTGTTTGGGGCCAATATCTCTCGGGCCCACATCATGTCACATGCAAACAACAGGTTATTTGCTACTTTTTCTCATAGAACCTAAATTAACTCCCCAGGATATTGCAAGGCATTGATTAATTGCTAGTAGAGTAGTTGTATTGTGTGTAAATTACAGGTTAACCTTGGATCAGAGTTACATTTTTATAGCTTGGTAAATTAGCCTGCACATAGTGCTGTTGGAAGGGAGGCTGAATTATTAAAAATAAATCAGTCAGAAAGTTTAAACTGGAACTTATTTTAAAACTTAAACCTCATGTTGTGTTGTAGCGCAGTTTGAATTTTAACCTCACTCGTCCCATTGTAGATGCTGCAAACATGTTTTGGACTTGTGGTTCTGAATCTCAAATGAGACTTTGTATGTTGTCTAAGAACCGAGAGATTCTTTTCTGTTCCGCTAGAAATGAGGAGAAAACTTTGTTTTGTGGTTTGTTTAGTGTTTCTTTTGCAATTTGGTTCTTTCATGTTTTGTTGCCTCTTTTGTATACTGGTGGTCTGGTTTATTTTAAATTTATAAAAAGAGAAAGCATGATTTTTTTTTTTTTTATATGCAGTCCGTGCAAAAAAAACGACTGGTCAAACACACAATATACGGACAGTCGTCAGTTTGCTTTGCATGTATGAAAATATTATATCAGGTTTGCTAATCTGGCTAGAGAGATTAACTTATCAAATTAATGATTTTCAGATAGCATTTTCAGATTTTTAATGTGCACTTATAATTAGACACTAAAAATGTTCTTATGTCGATTTTAGTCTCTTTTATCTGTAAAAAATAATGTCAACCACCAACATTTTGTTTTGTAAGAAAACTGTTACAAAGAAAATAAATGTAAAAATGGTTTTCACTCATCTTTTATTCATATTTGAATTAGAATACCCACGTCCCCACATTAAATCCAAAGATAGTTTTATGAAATTTTTACTTTTACAATATTCAAACCAGGAATTGAAATTATTGGTGTTCTGATGTTAGTAGTCCTGGTTCTGAGGACGCTTGAGCCTGTGTACAGACATATGAAGACAACTTATTAAAATAAAAATTACAAAGACAATTATAATTTGTAGTTCAAACCATAGAACATTTTTACCAGTTGGTCTGGAAATCATGAGCACACATTATCTATTGTTTCAGTTGGTTTGTTTTGTTATATAAATGTGTCTTTTGTGAACATACATTTGACTATTTGGGAGTTAGTTAGTCTAACCAAGTAATTTAGATTCAGTTGATGTAGGTAACTAAACAAAACCCAGTGAAGGTCTTATATCATAATCAGAGGGTTCAAGGTTTACCACTTAACCGTAGAATCTTGGTCCCCCAATACTACAAAAAATAGATTTTGTTTATCAAATCAAATCAAAAGTGTTTATAAAAAAATTTAATAGAATGCGAGTTAGTCAAAAATTACCTTTAATTTAATATCTCAAAATTCAGAAGGCTTGTCACCCTGACAGCTGAAAACGTATCACTTATGGAAATAAAGTGTTTGTAACTGACAAAAATAAAATTTAGGAACCCTTTTAGTTTGTTATACTTCACAATTGAAGTTAGGCCTTTGTTAAAATTTACATAATTTAATGTTTGACTTGCCTATAAATTATTCGCAACTGTTTAACAAACCGAAATTCTTGAAACAGATTCTTACCCTCACCAATGCTGAAACATTGCAACAGCCTATCAAATAATAATCTATATGTAATCAGTAATGTCCACTTTTTAGGCTAATCGTAGCCTTTACTATGTTAAAATAGAGTTTTATCAATTTACTCATTCTAAAGACAGACCACCAGTTTATTTCATTTGCCCACTGATTCTCCCTTGTACCCCAGTTTTGATCCTTGTTGGCCCTTACAGCTCCTCCACGAGTGAAGAGGAAATTTTGCTCCTCGACCCTGAGGACCTGCGAGTGTTGTCGCGCAGTAGGCGGTTGCCAACGTTAGCGGCTCGACTGCGATTGGTCGGCTACAGGTACCATTCTGCCCCTAGCATGCGACCCACCTTGGTCCTTTAACTTTGTGATAGACTAAATAAAACATTATTTTGTGGGGAGAGGTTTATAATGAGCAAAATAATAGGAAACTAATAATACAATTTTTGAAATTAATGCTATGTAAAGTTTGACCTGGCAAATTAATTTTGTGGGGAGAGGTTTTTAATGCTCAAACTAATAAGGTAGCTGTACAAATTGTAATTTTTAAATTATGATGTGTAAAATTTTACTTTAGGAACTGTTTACAGAAAATAAAATAATACATACCCTGATATGTATGAAAACATAAGTTAATAATGAATTTTGGCATGTAAGAAACAAATATATGATAATTTGAATAAAATAATTACTCTAAAATCATATAATAAATTTCAGGCTATCATATCAGTTTGAAATTTATAATCATTTTTGTTTTTTTTTACACAAATAAATACGTTTGATAGGACAAAACCTTAAATGAGATAGGTTGGGAAGCTTATTAAAAATGTAATCATCTTTAGTTTTCTAAATTATTAATATGTAAAATTTCCCATATTTTGATTTATTTTGGTCCACCAAATGATCTACAAATAAGCCAAACAAGATGATTTTCTCTCTCTCATAAACAATAACTGTGGGAACCTTCAACCTCTCCTTTGCCCTTTAGATACAAGAAAACACGGTTTGGGACGTTGTAGTCTTGTCTAGCTCTCTCGTAACTATTGGTTTTGGCTTTGTACATATTTGACTTACGACTAAACTAGATTAACTAGATGGCTTACGTCAGTGTTGGTTGGTTGGTGTTGAAGCCCTTTAATGATCTTAGTTCCATCATTTGTGAAACTAACGTTTAATCCAAGACCAATGTAAATATACTTTAATCTATGGACTAAACATACGTGTTGAGTTTCAGTTTGGAAGTAGGTCCTAGAATGTTTTCCATGTAAGTAAATTTTTTTAGTTTTAGAATATAAAGAAACCTGTGAATTATGAAATTTTAATTTTGGTTCGTGAAAATGAAATAAACATTAATTATTCTCTTATTGAAGAAATACATTTCCAGGGATAAATTTGTAAATGTAAGTTTTGATGACACACTATTTTGAAAAATTAATAACACAACCTGTTAAAGCTATGACTAAAGTTTAACAATTACCTTCCTTCTCGAAGCTGTGAGATTAAAACATTAAGATAATTAAAAAAAAAACCATTTGGACATATTATTTTGTTTTAGAACACCAAATAAGACATAACTGTATTCAATTTAATTTTGAAATCTTGAAAAATAGTGTATGTTTTTCCTCATTTTTTCCTTTAATATATCAATTAACTTGAGTTTTCTTTGACTTGGAGTTTTGATGAATTTTTGAGAAAGCAGGAAGCATAACAGACCATAACAAAGTTTTTGGGTACATTTCAATCATGTCCCACTTCTTCAAAATTTTCTTTAAAAAATAACTATGTAAACTGGCTATTGTTATTCTTATTGGAGAGAAATCGATGCAGCAGAATATACACAGCAAACGAGAATCTGGGAATCCCTATGTTTTTCTCAAAGGTGTTGAGCAATTGATGTAACAACTCAACCCACTTTCATCTTGGAAGTTTACGCTTAAAATGATCCTAGTTTATAACCTGTTAGGTTGCCAGATACATTAATCTATTTTTATTAATGTAGCCTTGACATGAAAATATCCTGTAGTTGTGTAATGACTTCAAAAACAGACAGGACACGTTTTTAATTAAGAATTTTAATGAAGAGTTGATAGACTGGAATTAAAAAATTGATCGATTTATTAAATTGGTTGGGTTTCAATAGGTTTTGAAATAACCAAAATGTATTCTGTCTTAATTTGAATGATTTTTTATACTAAAAGAATATTAATGAGTTTTTTGCTATTGAACTGAGTTTGGTATGAAGTGATTTAGGCCTATGTGAAACTTTTAAAAGCTGGAGTTGAAGATAAGAATCTCGCCTTGCCATTCAATTTTATATGAAGGAATTTATATGTAATTTTTATTTGTTAAATTTTTATCATATTTCAACTATATTGACTATGTATTGTAGTTTGCAAAGTGCTACTTTGAAAATAAATTTGACTTATTTCTTAGCAGTAGTTTCTGGGTCAAAAGTGCTAAAGAATACATTAAAGGATTTTAAGGATGAAGTTGGTGGTTATAATTAATGATCATTTTAAACCAAATGCAACGGTATTAAATTAAACTAGACTACTGATGCCGACTCTTGACTCAAATACTAAGTTATTATTTTGATATTTTCTTGAATTTGTAAAGAGATGTAATTTATAAATACACAGACCTGTGGTTTGAATTTGGAGTAATGTACTAATCATACTTTAAATTAAGTAACGGTTTTTTGCATGATTGAAAATGTTAAGTTCTCCTTACAAAAGCTTAAGTACACCGTTCTTCATATAATTTTTAATATTCTTAATTTTCAATAATTTGTTCTGAAAATCTATGGTGTTAAATAATCTACTGCGGTTAAAAATTATTGAAACCTCTTGGATAAAATATAATAGTTCAATTTTACCTAGGCGATGGTGATATTTTTAAATTACATCCATATTGTGACGACATGAATGAAACATCTGTTTAATATCAAATGCATTTTGAATTGAGATAACCCAGCCATCAATAATGTATGAAAGATACCTGACCAAACTGTTGAAAAGTATTTTATACTCAATGGAAACTATTTAAATATCTTCACACAGAGTTTCTTTATTCTCGGTTTTAACCCTTTCCACTCTCATTTTAAGGCCCTATGCCCCATGCCCTAAGTTTAATTTATCATGCAGGTCATTAAGCCTACCAGTATTTAACTTCTAATTTCACTAATAATAAAAATAAAATTAAAAAATATATTTCATAATTTATTTTTTGGAAGCCGACATGCGATACGATTGCAAAACGGCTGATGTCGGCTCACAGGCTCATGGCCGACAAGAGAGTGTTAAGGGAAGCTTCAATGCTACTAGTATAGGATCACTTCCAACTTCCATTACTCCATTTAAAAAGTGGAAAGTTAGTCTTTTTGGAAAAATCTTTGAATCTGAACAAATATTTTCTTTACACTGGTAGGTACAAAGGAATCTAGATATTCTCAAAAATATGAAAGTTATTTTTGATACTGTACTTATATTTTTGAGGTACAGTATCACATAGCTCATGACATAATTTTGGAATGGTGACAAAAACTTAGGAAGTAAGATAAACAATAACATTTAGCTGAGTAATTTTAGCGCTCGCCTGGTAATCAAAAAGATGCCCGAACGATCCTGAGAAATGTCAGTAGCTTTGTGATGGTTCAAAATTGGGCTCAGCTGTCCTTGAACATAACTGGCTGAAGAAACAGCTGGTCTTAATCAGTAACAAAACTACCCAAGGCATCCCTCTCCTTATTGCACTTACCCTTATTCGTATTTGGGTAAACATAAGCCTAGTTGCATTCTCAACTCAAGTGTAAGCTTGTGATTTTACAAATTTAAAATTAGTCATTCCATGAGTCATAACCAGCTAGCCCTGAAATACTCCGGTGATAACTGTTTTGTGGAAAACCTCTCTTCAAAACATCTGAGATATTAATAGCTGAAGTCATCTCAGCGGCCCAATCTTACACTTGTGAGGATTCCAGAGGGGACTTGTTTGTTTTCAAAGGTGATCGATCGGGTTCATTTCACTTGGTTTATTTTTACCCTTTGACAACACTCGTAATGAGGCTTTCCACTCGAGTCACTTACTGACTCATCAGCTGATTTGATTGCCTTGTTGTAACAGCTGATTGGATGTCCGCCGTCCTATAAACATATTGTTCTCAGATTTCCAATAGTTGTCAGCTGAGTAATAGTTTTTCTTGACATGACTAAATTGAAAAGGATTTTATATATTGTGGTATTACTGTAGATGTAAAATTATAACAATAATTTCTAATGAAACATTAAAATTATATCCATACGGTAACATTAAGCTAATTTGGTAACAGATATGAATGTATGTAAATAGGGATTAGATAAGAGCGTGTGTTATAACAAGTGGCACAGTTTGTGTAGGTTTTACAGTACCTCCAAATAACATAACATTCTATTTAAGGACACCAAAGTCTCCGTTGTTTATGGTTTGAGTCTAGTGTGAAAATTTGTTTAGTCATTCTGACCACATTTTGATAAGAACGACAATCTAACAAAACAGTTCTCTCGTGAATTAGCGATTGGCTTAAGAATGTGTTGTCATAGAAGTTTCCCAAGTGGAAAAAAGATGTTTTAAATTAACCAGTTTCAATGCTAGAGTAATATTAAGATTAGGTGTTGTTCACCACATTTTGTGCATCAATAATACACATTTAAGTGATTTCGTTAATTTTGAGGGATTTCGTTGTCCCTACAGTTTTGCTTTCACCACAAGTAGTCAATGTTGGTCAATGTTGTTTAAAATAAAAATAAATTGCTTGTTCAACTTGTACCAAAGACATCTAAGACTAAAAAATCGAATTACTCCAATAAAATACAAATTTAAGAGCTCTCATCAAAATTTAAACATCAATGGTTGATTAATAATCATTCATCTAGGTGAAAAGGAAAGATCTTTTAACATTACAAGTAATGGCTAAATAATTGAATAATGTACAAAGTAACTTTTAAGGTAAAATGTAAATCAATAGAATAAGTTAAAACTTATAATAGACTTTTAGTGAAAGTATTTTGTCAAAGTTGTGTCTGCTGTTTTTGTGTTATAAAAGTTTCTCTCTGCTCTGGCTCGCAGCTTTTTAAATTAACAATTATTGTAATTGGCTTTTGTATTTTAGATTCATCAAAGAATCTGAAACAATTATTTTAAAATTATGACCGTTTTGTTAAATATATTAGTACAAATAACAGTACCTTATTATTGAGAATTTCACCAGCTTGAAAAAAACCATGTGTAAAAAAAATATTTAAAATTTGTACGCTTACCCATTATTTAAAACATCACTAATTAGAAACATTTATCTATAATCAAGATAATGTATGTGTTCACTCACAAGCGTGAGCAACTACATTACTGTATTTGTGAAATTGTGATGGATATAAGCTCTTATAAAAATCGTTTACGAAAATGAACAATGTGAACTGGACTGTGAACGCAGACCTTGAAATATTATTTAGGAAGACGTCGATAATCTACAACAATGATCATATCAAAGATTGAGATATTATGTTAAAGCCACTCTGATTAGGAGACTTTGCTTAATTAGACAGCTATTTGACAGCTGTTCATATACATATTTTATAGCTAATCTAGGAATGTGCCATTGTAAACTACAGAGCTGCTGTACATTTTACTGCACTAATATTTGTATTTTTTAACTCGGAATATATTTAATCAAGTTTTTTTTTTAGAAGGTGATTCATTATAAACTAGAGGTAGGCTACCTACCAAAACAGTCCAGGATAGTGCTAGTTGCAAATATGAAGATGATTTAATCCAACCCCCACTTATGATGATGACCTAGAACCCCCAATTAGCTTGATTTTGATTTAGTGCTCGAGGGTTTACTGTATTGGCAGTTTATGGTGTACCGAGTACATTGTGCAATGTTTTGAGTCTCGCAGTTGAACGGTTGACCGACGTAAGTTTTGCCGTCAGACAACGTTTGGAAAGCGTCCAGCACTTTTGTAAACTTTGTTAGAGTTGGCACTAGTCCCAATATTCAAATTCATTTACTGAGCTACAACGAAATTTAAATAAGATAAACAATTCTTTATCTCAATGTCTTTTAAGGATCATATAAAATGGTTAATGGTTAAATGGAATCTGTATTATAGTGAGCTTAGATGAATTTGGAAATGTCAATCTATTTTTAAAGTTATTTTACATTTGTACATTAGTATTGAGTCTTTGGCAATCCTCCAAGAAACTACCAGATACTGTAAACAAATTCGTGGAATTTTTTCAGGGACACTAGGAAACTTTATTTTTATAGCCCCTTGTGTAAAACCTGTTTTCCAGCTGTCAGTATTGCCCATCATAATATTCTTTTAAACTCATCATCCAATTCCCATCTTTAATCTTTTTCCAGCTCTTGATGATTTTTTGTGTAGGTTTTGATTATTCCCTGCTACATTGGACGAGACCAAACTGTAGTGTGCCAGGTTTAGGGGTGTGAGGTGGTATAAAGTCCAATGAGACAATAACTGAGATCAGGAAACACTGTTCTAGTAGTTTAGTACACTCTTATCCTTATTATGACCGATTTTTATGAACTCCGATGACGACCTACGTGTTAAATACTCAACAGTTATTATTTAAATTATTATTTAATTGTTTTGTTTTGCTGGAATCAACAGCCTGAAAGGTTGTTGAACCAATGTTATTTGTGCCAGAGCCAAAAGTAGTTAGTGATAGCTCAACTGAATATTTCTCTCTGTTTTCCTATCATCTTTCTAAATCAGCTGTCTTGTTTGGTACAGATATGTCACTCACTTTTGTAATTATCTGCAAATGAATATGGAGGTGGGAGGGATATTGGTGTGGACAAATGTCTAATGTACATACTATTTATTTATAGATTATTTTGGTTAGTTTTTTATCTAGAATCTTTGCAGATTAAAATCATTTTTTCTTATTTGAATACTACTTGAGATACAATTATTCTCCAAGACACTAACTTTGAAGCTTATATGTTGTATGAAAATATAAATAATTTTTGCTACTGTCAGAGCCGAAGTTAAATTTTTGGCCTTTTAAAAGATGCTTAAAACATTATTTTTGGCCTTGTGTCACAAATTTATGTTAAACTACAATACATGTGCAAAAAATTCAATAAGACGTTCAATAGTTGTATTAAGCGACCAAATATTCTGTAGTCTGTGTAAGATAAATGAGTAATAAAACCAACATATTCTACAAACTTGTTTATGCAGATGTATTGTCAAGTGTGCAACGATATTTCTCAGCATTATAGAGGTAATATGTATATCTTCAACGTTGCAGGTGACTTGACTACAGGCTGTTTAAAGAATTACAATACAACTTGGATAGCTTGTTTAGTTTTAATTTAATCATTCAACTTACAGACATGTTTTTGATACAATAATATACAATCATTTAACAAAATTCAAGATGATTACCCTCCAACTAACTAGGTACAATATGACTTTAACTGGATGCATATGCAGCTGAGCGTTTAATTCATATAATATTAATGTTATTAATTAATACATTTATTAAATACATTATTCTAAGTGTTTAATTGCTTGTTTAAACTGACCTTTCAGGATTACCTAACATTAGCCTAGAGTGTCTATCAACCTTTAGTGGTAACCTGAGTTTTCATTTTCACAGGAGCTTGTATTTAGTAATATAATTTGTGTTTTTACCCATTGGCAGGCGCTAAATTCACTGTATCACACACGTATCTTTCTGGGAACCAACTTAAAATCTTCCCTAACCCTAAAATCCAGTCAGAATGCAAAAGTCATGGTAGCCAAAGACCCTGTCGACAAGTTTTATCAAAAAACTCCATGAGTCATCTTCCGTGTTTTAAAATCAAAGTCACCCGTGGAGGGTTAAAGGGTGTACTGTTCTTGCAATATTTAACCTATACAGGGTGGCTGAAAAGTAACTTGAACCCCCCTTAACTTTTCAACAATTAGAGATATTTGAAATGCGTTTGTGGCAACCTTCTTAGATATGAGGGGCTACAATTATTATGGTCAATTTTGAAAATTTAGCCCTTAGGGGTAGTGGGGGTAAGGGGTAGCTCAAAATTTTCAAATTACAAGTAGTCGAGTTTGGTATCATTTTACAGCTCTTGACGAAACATACAAATTGACACAAAGAAAACCAAAATCGGCCCACTAATAACAAAATGGCGCAATAAAACGTTTAAAATCCAAATAACCATGAGGTTGGCTGAAAATAAACTTGCACCCCCTTTAACTTTTTAACTATTTGAGATATTTGAGATCAGTTTGCGGCAACTTGTTTGAATATGAAGGGCTACAATAATTATGGTCAGTTTTGAAAATTTATCCCTTAAGGGTAGCGGGGGTAGGGGTTAGCTCAAAATTATGAAATAGCAAGTATAGTCGAGTTTGGTATCATTTTACAGGTCTTGACAAAACATAACAATTGACATAAAGAAAACAGAAATCGGACCAATAATAACAAAATGGCAGTTCAAAATCACTTTTAATAAACCATTGTCTTAATCATTTGTAGCTGTTATTTTTTTATTAATGGTCCGATTTCTGTTTTCTTTATGTTAATTTTTATGTTTCGTCAAGACCTGTAAAATGATACCAAACTCGACTCTACTTGCTATTTCAAAATTTTGAGCTAACCCCTACCCCACTACCCCTAAGGGCAAAATTTTCAAATTTGACCATAATTATTGTAGCCTTTCATATCCAAACAAGTTTCCGCAAACTGATTTCAAATATCTCAAACAGTTAAAAAGTCAAAGAGGGTGCAAGTTAATTTTCAGCCACCCTCATGGTTATTTGGATTTTAAACGTTTTAGGGCGCCATTTTGTTATTAGTGAGCCGATTTTGGTTTTCTTTATGTCAATTTGTATATTTCGTCAAGACCTGTAAAATGGTACCAAACTCGACTACTTGTAATTTGAAAATTTTGAGCTACCCCTTACCCCCACTACCCCTAAGGGCTAAATGTTCAAAAATGACCATAATAATTGTAGCCCCTCATGTCTAAGAAGGTTGCCACAAATGCATTTCAAATATCTCTAATTGTTGAAAAGTTAAGGGGGGTGCAAGTTACTTTTCAGCCACCCTGTATAGCTGAAATGAAAAATCAACAAGATCCATTTGGATAAATAAGGGAACCAAAATCATGTCTGGAGTTAAAGAACTAAACTAAACGCTGTCAAAGTTGTAAGGTAATATTTGAATGCTTTCTTGTTTCCACAAAATTCACGTCATGGTGTTGTTGCAGCATCCTGCTGGCGTGCAAGGTGATCTTCCGCACGGTGTTTGTGTTGCTCAACAACATCTACTGTATCCCCACGTACGCTGTGTGGATGTTGGTGTTGTTGCCACTCAAGCGCTACAACCCAGAGCTCTACTGGAAGATAGAGGGAACGTTCTTCCACTGGCTGCTGGCGATGGTCTCTATGTGGAGCTGGTCAGCCGGATATGACAGTGAGTTTTTGGCCTTAGTTTCAATGCATTTTGAAAGAAAAATAAATGCTTATAATGAATAGCGGTCAAAACTTCTCAAATTTTTGTGTGGAACATTTTTATTTTATTTGTGTTTTCTTGTGCCAAAGTATTATACGTCAACCATGACACTACAAAACTCATCATTATTGCTTCAGTACCCCACCACACACCCCATCTGGACCCCATCTGGATGGTTAGATTCTTTAAAAAGTCTTATATTTTATAATTGTATCATTGGCCGATTAAGTCATCGACTCTTAGCATGATGGCCACAATTGACACTCATTAAAATATGTAATGGATTACCACTAACTGCAATTAACTTTATTATTCTGGCAGGATTTTCTCCTCCTTGAGGTCATTTGGTTCGGATGATTTAAGTTTAGTTAGTAGGAGTTCTACTGCACCATGTTATCAACTAAGATGGGAACAAAAGTGTATTGTATTTTAACCCAATTTTGAGGAAAGGACTTTAGAATTGAGTTAGGTGACCTTAGTTTTTTACTGACTAAAGCCGCATCCCCACTATGCGCAGTTGGCTTGTGCCGCATTGTGCCGATCGGCAAATGTGGACGCGCAGTTGGCTTGTGGCGCATTGTGCCGATCGGCAAATGTAGATGTGCAGCCGGCTTGTGCCGATTGGCAATTCCGCTTGCCGATTCCAAACCAACGGGTTGTTGGTCCAGACCAAAGGAAGCCAAGGGGCATGTTGGAGTAGGGACAAGCAAAGCTGTAGACGCAGGCATTTTTGGTCCGATCTTTCAAAGTGAATTTTAAAAATCTGTCGATATCATTTACACTTTTAGGTTAAGGCGCATAGCACGGTGTCGTTTGCACAACTGTGCCATACGGCCAAGTCCACATCGTTATAGGGAGAATGCGGCTTAAGACCGGCTGTCTTGCTAGGATCATCTATTAAGTACCCAACGATCAAGGACAACTGGGTCCAGTTTGAACCATCAAGCTACTGACTTTTCTCAGAATTGGCAACCTTATAATTTACGTGACACTATAACCTCTCAGATATCCAACTGTTCTGAGCTAGAAGCTTAAGGGTAACTAAACACCCGCAAACATAGCCACTTATTATTGTACACTTGGGAATCACCTATAAAACAACTTTAATAGCCATGTAATCAATAAAACAGTTTTGACCAACACCTACTAATTTACTCTCTAATAATCATTATGACAATGAAAGCTTCAGAAAAAAGTCTCAACATTTTTTTATGTTTTTTCTTTAGGTAGGTAGGTACTAATAAAAATAATAAAATTCTAAGTAGTACAGAAAATGTTGTTTAGTTTATAAATCATTAAAAATTTAATATTTGTAAACGTTTTGTTATAAATTTTGTTTCCTTTAACAATTTTTAAATTCCCATTAGAAAAGATACAGTGAAAGATATATAGTTTGTTTAGAATTATCGTCTAGTGAATTATTTTTATCATATAATTGAGAATTATTGAGAATAAATGTGATGTAATAATGGCGTGAAATAATGTCTATGAACTGGCTAGTCATTGTTTCTTGGTAACATGATCAAAGACTTTGTCAAGTTCTTTAAATAGCTACAGTTGTTTATAATTTTTCTCAGAATTACTAAACTTGATACCACGTAGCATTTGAACAGAATAGAATCAAAGTGCACACAGATTTCTTGTTTGTTTCCATTTATAGACAACAACAATGTTGTTAAGTTATGATTAACTTTCGAACACAATTGATGATGTTAGAAGACATTTATCTATTTCCTGTTAACTTTACAATTTTTTCTCATCTGTTGAATGTTTCAATAGATAAAAGCACTTGCACTTGGCTGATAAGAAAGATGAAACACACAATACTTACTCGCTACTTACAACGATAACTCTAGCTACACTTTTTGATTTATAACATTCAATTCATTCGTCAGTTTTTCTCCCGCATTTTAAGAATACCTTGATCGGTTGCCATTATGCAAAGAAATTACAATTTTCAAGTCATGATCAAAAGTTAAATGTGCTCATCATGAAAAATATTTGCATGGAAATATTTAAAGCTTAGGTAGTTTTTGCTTGAATCACAACTTTTTTTACAAGGGTAATCAGAATAGAAATATTCTGTCATCTAAATTATAATGAACAACATAAACATCTTAGGTTAAATCGTTTAAAAATGATACATCAATTGTATATTGCTTAACAATCAAACAAGTTTCAAAAGTAACTTGTCAAGTGTGTACTGGCGTAGACACGAGAAAAAAATGTACATTGGAATTATGATATCCAACATCACCAGAACAGAAACTATGTTGTTTGTTGGGTTGTCTTGGAAGATATCTTTTGGTTTGTTTGAGAGTTTTTTTAGTTTTTGTATTTAACTCTATCATTCATAAAAGGTAAAGTGATTAACGATTAAAATATTTAGGTTTACTAACAATTTATTTTTAAACTATATCGCTATGTCTAAACATTTAAGCAGATTTAGAATCAAAATATTTGTGTATTAAAAACTTTGGGGTTATTGACACTGGCCTAGATTCATTTCGCAAAACGTTTTATACTGTACTTTAATGAATCATTGTAAACAGTTATTGTTACATTGAAAAAATATCCCTAACACAATGTATCAGGAACATTGGCTGAACCATCTTCAGCCAAGTAAATAACTTGAAAATTGTTTTATTACAGAAAGATATAAATTAAATTGGATGTAAATTTGATAAAAAACATGTAACATATTAAATATTTTTCCAATTTCAACTATCTATAACATATTGAAACAGCGATTGACAATGTTTAGAATTTTTTGCCCTCCGAATTATACTGTTCTACATAGCTATGAAAAAGGTGTCAAAATGTTTGTTTGGTTAAATTATTGAGTATTTACCCAATCCCATCATCAATAAAAGTTCTCTAGATCCTTTTTGGAATAACCTCAAACTTTCTAACCAAATATCTAAAAAATAGGGCTTTTATCTTCTTATCACTTGTCCAACAACCTGTCAATTAATTTTTACAAAAAAATACTTTTCTAAAATGTAAGATAAATCCGGTAATATTTTACTGCTGCCGATTCAGTTTTTAATACGTAAATGTGTAATATTATTTATATTTTTAAAAGCATCTTGAAATTAGTACAACCAAACCTGAACTTCTTAGAGTAGATGTACTTTTCACAATTTCCAAATTTGTCAGTAAATTTGACCGTTAGTACTAACTGCTTATCAATTCAACTCTTCAAAGTTGTTTTGAAGTAAGCGCAGGTCATCAGAAGTTTAGAACACCCAAAAATGTGCTAGGTTTGAAAGTTCAAACCAGCAAATAAGTATCCTTTAGGGTAGTCAATGTTAGTATAAGTATCTTGGATTTGATTAAAGGTTTTCCAATTCAGTGTTACGATTCCAAAGTAAACTTGTCAATAATTCTGACAATTGGTAGCAATATGATGTGTCAGCTCAGCTCATATAACCCAACTGCACCAGAATGTTGTCATGTTGAACAAGAAAGTTGAGGAGTTCTTAAAAAGATTATGTGCTTGGATCAACAGTTCTGGAGTTGCTCTCAACCGACATTCCCCGCCACCCCCTACTCATCCCCCGCTTGTCTCACCCACTGACCTGGCTAAGGTGTATTCGTCCCTTTGTTCTTCAGTTTCATTCATTTCATAATGAAATTGCTTAGCTTTGTAAACTCTACAAGTGTTTCCTATCATTTTTCTGTGGTTATAAATTAGGGAGTTTTTGTAGTTTTTTTATGTTTTAAAATGAGATTTATTTTTATTTTTGAACAATTAAAATGTCTGTTTATGTATGGAATACTTGTATATGTTTGAAGTGTATTGTATATTTTGTCGAGTGTGAATTCAGTTTTCACTTTATTAAGATTGGTTCTACAGTGTTAAAAAGATCATAAATATTTTTTGTAGGCAGCTTACAGTTAGCTTCCCAATGCTAAATACTTGAATATGTTCTATTCCATCCCAACAGATTATTCATTGTTATTTGTGTTCATTTAATTCAACCATTCTGTTAAAATCTTAATTTTTCCCCTATGTTATGTATTTGATCCTATCGGGAAGACGAATTCAGTTTTGTATCAAAACAAGGTCTACAATTATTGTTAGGGACTAGCCTACTGTATTTGTTAATCCACCAAGACCAGAAATAAAAAAAAAAATAAATAAATAAAATACCCCCGCCGCAGCAAACCTGCAGACTAAGTGAATTTCCAATTGCCTGAATTGATTTTAAATTAAATCTATTCAAATAACATAAGGTTTAACGAGTACCTAGGATTGCTGCTACAGGGAGGCTAATAAAGTGTGTTTTTAGTAAAATATTAGTAGCTTAGTATAGACTCAAAATATTTCCATTAACATGCAAACTACACCATTTTACATTATTCTCCATAAGAAAAACAAGGGAATTTTTTAAATTTGCAATTTTTTTATTTTTTTCCGTAAACAATAGCCGTACAGAAACACTTTGGTATACTAATTTTTTTTTAAGCTTTTTAAAATGGTCTAGAGATAAATTGGGTAATTTTGTGTTTTGATGGTCAAAAATGAGAAAAATTAAATTTTTACCCCATAAAACCCCCCAGAAAACCCTGTTCCCATGGTACGATCATGCTGGTTCATCCCGCGAACTCATTCAAGTTCATCCCGCCTTATACCTTCAAACAAAATTTCATCAAATTCGGTCAAAAAATACGCAAGTTATCGGACATATATATAAATTTGAACAAATAGTGTTTTTGGCCTCTAGGGACATAAAAATGAAAAGGTATATCTGTCGGCTCCAGGTCTTACCGTGCCACCTACGGTAATAGCCACTTCCCCATAGGGAAATTTGCTAAAAACCATTTAGTTAATTGGAAAAATTAAACAACTGATAACATGAACAGGCTTGGTATATTTAATACTCTTTAGGAGCATTTTCTAAGGTTAATTAATTTTGTGATTGGTCGATAAGCTTTTAAATGTCACTCTAAAGTTGTTGTGCGTGCAAAGCAAAATTAATTTTGGTTGTCGAATAACGAAATTTGCATGTTGTCCACAGTTGTAGAGGTGGGAGATGACATCCGCCAGTGTACAGAGGAGAGGACTTTAGTGATAGCCAACCATCAGAGTACCGCAGACGTACCCATGTTGATGGCTACGTTCAACCCACGACCACAGGTGCTGCCCAACATCATGTGGATCATGGACAGGGTCTTCAAATTTACCAATTTCGGGTTTGTCTCCGTCATCCACGAAGACTTCTTTATACTGTCGGTAAGTCATGTGGTAAAAGTCTACTTTAAAATAAGTTAGAGCCCCAGGAATTCTTTACCTATTAATTGTCTAAACACATTAGTTGTGTTGTAATTGTGTTACACATTATTAAGATATACCGAGGTAGTGTTATTATCAAATAGTTATAAGCTATAACCGATCGGGGGGATTTGAGCCTGAGACCTTGGGACTGAAGTCTTGTACTCCGCCATTGTTCTACCCTAGATTTAGAATTGATGGTAAAACTGGAAATTGGTTGTTAAATTATTGTAGCAAAGATAACCTCACTTAGAATTATTTTCCTTTTAGATTTCTATTTATAAAGTATGGTCTCCATTGTAAAACCTAAATCAGCTGTGGCGAGTCTAAATAAAATAGAAAATTAAAAAAAAAACCACTGTAAAAAAAACAGTAAAGAATTTTATTTAAGTTTTGAAAACAAACATATTACAGGTAAAATTGCCCAATAAATTAAGTCAAGTAACATTAATTGTCCAGTAAAAAGTACATGAAACTAAAAAAACTAAAGAAGTACTTACGATGAATTGACGGCCACAATCAGAAGCCATATTGAACTAATCAATGAATAATTACTGAACAAAGTAGGACGTTATTGAGAAAGGCTTGAAAATTTGTGTCTGTTTCACAATAGCCACAATTTTAGTGATGTAATTTTCAAAACTTAAAAAAGGTAGCCAGTTTCATTTTGTAGATTGCATAACTTTTCCTTCATGTCTATGGTCAATAAAACTTTTCTATGTTAAAAACTGTAAGAGCAATAGGAATTTTAAATCCATCCGTTTCCCCACAAACCCCGTTTAAACCTTCACAATATTATGATGATGCTTTAAAAGAAATATTTAAGGTGTAGAAGAACTAGAGTCAAATATCTATTTGAAATTGAAATTTTAGTTACGGCTGTCCTATGACTCTACCACTAAAACGCAAGTAAGAAAGTCATAAAGCATGAAAAGCAATGTCATAAGATGATAATTACAGAATGACAAAGCTTATTGCATTGTAATCAACTAGTTAAACTAATGGACTATTCAAGGAGTTTGATTTTACAATATTCCTGTCTTAGTCCCAAAGACCTGTCCTATAAACACCATAAACAATAGAAAGTTGGCAAAGCATAGTAGTAAATAGGGCTTGTAAGTTAAATTAGTTTCTATTTTTTATCTCCTCTGCGTTGGGAGGCAGAAAGGATGTCAAGTTACCAATGGTAGAAAAGTAAGTCTTTGAGTCTAGCTACACCATCAGTGCCTGTGGATTGCCGATTGCTGCCATAATTATTTTTATTTACAGTTTTTACTCCACAATTATAGTTGACTTGGATTAGACAGCTGAATTTGGCTTATTGAAAGGGAAGTCATATTTCTGCGAATTGTATAGTTTTAGTTTTAAATTCTAATAATCTTTAGGGGCCACTTTTAGTTTGATAAAGGTGATACTTAAGTTTATCGTTTTTATTTTTCACCCCAGGGCAGACGACACAGAGATGTAGCAGTGCTCCAGTTAAAGAAGCACATAAGAGATTCGTACATTCCACGTGACCGTAAACTCATGGTTCTCTTTCCTGAAGGAGGCTTCCTGAGAAAACGGAGAGAAATAAGCCAAAGGTTAGATGCCGCTGTGAATCAGCTGTTCATACATTACTCCTTAGGACTATATTTACATTTTGAACTTTGTATTTTACTTGCAGTTACAATATTTCCACCTATAAGTCACACTTGAAAACTTTGACAAAAGAAATACTTTCCCCAAATGGCATTTATAGGGGGAGAAAGTAAGTAGTAAGTAGCAATAAATCTGATTTTAGATGCAATTCACAAATCATCCTCCCAGCTTATCAACTTTTACCCAGTGGGTTCACCGGTCAGAGGAAAAAAATGAAAAACAATGTGAGAGAAAAACAAACAAGGGTATTTTAAATGGGTAAATGGCGACAACAACTCACTTATGCCTATCGATTTTAGCTGAGCTGAGATGATTTGAGTTAAGCTGTACTATCACAGGGCTAGAGATATACAAGGGCTGGCTCACTCCTTTGATGTTAGCGGTCGCCGCCTGATCCTACTTCCCCTCCCCCGCCCCTCCTCAGTGACGTAGCGGAGATACATCGGCGCGAGGCGCAACGGTAGTCTAGCACGGCAGTGCATATGTCGCCCAGCATCTACGCGCATATTAAAAATTGTGTTTATAATAATGTAGTTTTATAGTGTGATTTTTAAAGCGGGTTTCGTTAACCCTCCAACTTGCAATGGGCAAACTCTGTAGCGGCAAGGCATTTTTGGCGATTTTGCAGTCATATTTTCGAAAATTCATATAAACTAAACCAACAGATCAAACCTATGAACCGTATTTATTATTTCCAACTTGAAGTGTTCGTAATGAAATGAAGAATTTGAAAATGGCAACGAAATAAATATTAAAAATATTGTAGAAAATATTGTCAGTAGGTAGAAAAATTGCTGCATGAACCAAAAATGTTTCATAAGATATACAAATTGTTTGGAATTTATTTCCCTACACATGGAAATGTAAAAAGATTCCAATTACCATTTATACAAAGTTATGGCCCAAAAACAATAAAATGACAAGTTTCTCGATTTTGCACAACAAATTTAAAATAAAAACCAAATAAATGTATTATCAAGAGATAAAGTAAAAGTAAACATTTTTAGGCAATAATATTGGAGATCAATAATGAAGTAAGAATTGTTTATGTATACTGATCATTTCAATAGATGTTTATGACTTTTAATGTATATATTATTTTAAAAACCCAAACCAACAAAGAAAATGAAAGTAAACTTATTCCCCTACATTAATATACATAGTTATAAAGGCAAATATACAAAAATAAATATTTTATAGTTTTTTCTATAAAATGCTGCTGTGCCTTTTTCATTTGGCGATTAAATCGTTTGTTAATTATGACGAAATGTTTCTAAAACGGGCTAAATGTAATGTCCCAGACCTCAAATTAAGTAAGTATATCCACATAAAACAGTTAATAAACTAAATAAGTACAATTTTTACAACTAATAAATACGATTAAAGTGATAAAGTCAAACTCGCGATATTCGTTGTTGGTAAACAGTCAATGAAGTTCACAAAAACTGGCTAAAAATTAGTGTCTCAAGTTTCTAAAAGTAATGTCACATTACAGTCGAGGCACAATAAATAATATCGTAACCAAACATTTACAACGTATAATCACGATATAAACTGATAAAGTAAAATCACACCAAAACTCGACTTTTTAGTTATTGGTCAACAGAGATTGAGGTTAGTTAGTCAGGCAAGTTAATGTATTTTTGCTACTATATGTTATTTTAATGTATAGAAATATGTGGCCTATAAAAAATGTAATTGATTAATTGAAACTCTTTTCCTTCCTGTAAAAGTTACAAAATACTTAGTATAGGTAATGTATTTTTATACAACCTCAATGTATTTTATATAACCTCAATGAATCCTAAAAGGTATGAATAAGTAATAAATAAATACAATTAATAATCCATACATTAAGATACATTCGAGCAATACGAACACAGATATTACACAGTAACTTTAATGCATTGGATCAATAACTACAGTAATCTTAGCCATCGCTTTACATTCCACTCCCATCCTTAAATATCTACTAAAGTTAATTTTTTACTTATTAAAATTGATGTTATACGTAATCCTATTTGAAAAATCAATTACTTTTATAAAATACATTAATACCTAATAAAAAATGTCCAACATAGAGCTTAATAAACGCTAAATGTGCGGTAATACCAGCGCTCACACAGGCAAAGATATACGGTGCCGGGAGCCCGAGGTATCGCCGTGACGTCACAGCGGCGGAGTGGTGGGGAGCCACCTGGCATCACTTTCTGAGCTCGCGTGTTGTATATCTCTAGCCCTGGTACTATCATCTATCGGAGTATGTGCAGATACCTTCCTTTGGACTACTTTTGTTTGAATACTAAAAATAAAGGTCAAAAATAAATTTGTTTACACTCCAATTTTATTGCAGATATGCCTTAAAAAACAACCTGCCAGTCCTGAACCACGTGTCGTTGCCGAGGTTAGGAGCCATGCAGGGCATCATAGATGTTTGTGGCTGTAAGAGCGACAAAGTGTCTCCCAACAACAACACAGGTTAGTACCAACACCACAACAACATTATCTATGTTCTATGTCTATTATCTATCTATTATCTATGTCTATCTTATGGACATTCAGGAAAATGGTGAGGTTGTGCTACAATTGTAAAATTATATTTTCACTACACTACTATGAGTTGAGCTGTTTTCGTTATATGTTTACAACCTTTGAAACATCATATTTTCAACAGCTGTCTATTGTTTACTACCAAAAGTAACATTGTTTACAACCAAAAATGTCCCACTGTCAACAACTTCAAATATTTGTAATAGTTTTATCAACTGTTTCAACTTTCAACAACTAAAGTAAATATTAACTTTAAATCAAAGGCATAACCTAAAAAATTCTGTGGGTTTTGTAATGAAGAAAATAATTATTCTTTGTAGTGTAGCGAAAAGTAATGTTCAAAACACGAGTGAAAGTGGGTTTTAATATTCTCAACCATTTAAAGTGCTCAATAAATCTCGCACTTCAAACATGGTCTCAAATATGTAATGACTCACTTTTTGTACACTTGTTATGAAATATACAATTTCCTTGAGGTTTATTACTGAGATAGTTAAAAAGGTGTTTTAGTTTACAAAAGGTTTTCCTTTTAGTTTGGATTGGTTTAAAGTAAGCATTAGATTTAACTATATTAATAGGTAAGCATGTTTCTTTAAAACCTTTTTTCTCAGCCCTTGTGCACCGCAGGGAAAATCTATGCATACTGTTGGAAATATATTTCCTATAAATGTGCAGAATCCCTTAATAAATCACATAAGCTCCATAATAAACTCCAAAATTGTATTTAAATATTTAAAAAAATAACATGGGCCTTATATGGGTAGCCATGCTGTTGACAAAATAACATCAAAATAAACAGAAAATCAAACCCGATGGAAGAAACTCCAGTCACATGTTATATTTACAGCATGGGGTGAAAATAAAGAAGTCTGTTCATTACATGTTTTTGGTCGAATTTTTGACCACTGAACAATCTCTAGTTAGTTGCCCTTTTTGATAGTTCCCAGTAATTTACATAGCACACTTTATCAATGGCTCAAATCACTACATTCATTTTATCTTACACAGGAATGGAATTTTTAGCTCTCTCCATAGTCAAAGGTATAAGCTAATTTGTTATAACTTAATTTTTGTAAACATAACTTGACCTAATAAATTATATATTTCAGAGAAAATAATGCAGTTTAATTTTTTTAACATTATTTTTGTAAGAAATTTATTTAAATAATGAAGCTAATTAGTTTAATTTATTAGTGTACCGGTACATTGCATGAGTTTTTAAATAATGAAGCAAGAATAATTTTTGTAAGATTTTAAACCAAACCATCTGCTTTAATCCTTAATCAATTGGATGGATAGAATTTCAACTTAACTACTTCTCAAATTATTTAAAAAACTAACAAAAAAGAAAGCGATGCAATTGATTAAAATTGATAAGCGTGAATAAAAGCTTTGATGATTTGTTTTTTAACAGTTCAAAGAATAATATTATATTTGTAAGTTTTCTCCTGTCAATTGTTATTTGTGTTTTATCTTCTTATTTTACAATAACAAATTAAATATCCTTCTCTGTCCTGCATGTGCTTTTTGTTGGTAATTTCTTTATTTAAACAATTGTTTATTGTTTGTGCGTTAACCCTTATGTTTGTTTTATTGTTTTTTTAACCTTGTTTGAAGATAAATCATCGAAAGACGAACACAAAACAGTGCAAGAGGCTAGTGTCTCGGACCTCTCAGCTGGGGACAAATTGTCCGAAAAAAATCCCACGGACAAACCCGCAGATGATTTAGGTCAGAAAGCTGTTCCCTTTATTTCCAATATTGTTAAGGATTTTTTACTGATTCTGTAGATGGTTTTGTATATATATAATCTTTTTTGGACAAATGGTTTTGTACAGGTGTAATTTATATTCAGCTAAGTGTATTTACATTACCGGGGTTTAAAGGTTTGTTTGGTTACCTTTTGCTAAACCCTGACACCTCCTTCCTAGCCATTTTTAGGCACTGCTTCAACCATTTGTGTTTAGCATACTGGTATATATTTGTGGTGCTTCACCTCATTCGGGACTCTAGGAATTTCAAAACACTTTTCCTCAAGTAGAGTATAATGCTATATTATTCTTTTTTATTTTGATTTGTGTGGTGTGTATGTATTTTTTATTAGGTTGAAACAGTAAGTTAATAAGTTGCATTCCAAGAGCTGCAAGGTAGGTTAGCTGCCTATTTATTTAACCTTTGATTAGTTCATCCACACCGGCCTTAGATGCCTGTCATGGAATTTATCTAGCAAATTAAGAGGTGAGAAGTCGATACAGTACAAGAATGGACTGTACTGATATTGTAAGAAACAGCATACCCATAACATTGCTGCTTTGATTTTACATTTCACCAAGTGAGCCAAGGACTCATATATTGTCTTGTTAGGTGTTGTATAGCCCCGTGTTTTGGTTGTGTTTACAGGTTTGAATTATTGCACTGTGTGTATTTGTTACCAGTAAATTTGTTGTTTGTGCACATGGATAATTATTAACTAAACATTTGTTCTTATATTTATATTCATCATGTGGTAAATTTAACACAACAGAGCTGTTGATTTTAATTGTATAGACCTAATTACATTTACAATTTAGTAGGGGATTAAATAAGATTAAGTCAATTTATCTTTATACACTTAATGTATGACTTCTTCAGAAAGTAGATTGAAGATGAATGTTATGTTTTTCAATCATTTTTCTTCAATATAATGTCTGAAGCCTACATTAACACATTGAGTGCTAATAATTATGATAATTGCGGATCTGAAAAGCTAAAAAATTATTATGTGATTACTTACTCAGAAATGATGTCAGGATATCCCAAATGGTACTTCCAGTTGTCCAGGGTCCATTTTTGTTGAATTACGTGACGTCATTTCCGTGACGGGAATTCCAGTCATCCGCTCCTAGCGCCTGTCCTTGCCGTCAGCACATCACTCATCAATAGTCCCAGAAGGCCACAGTAACACAATAAATGCTAATTTTGTAGTCGACAGTTAGTATATAATGATTATTAGGAGAAAAAATATATTTACAACCCCTCCCCAAACCATTGTATCAAGTGTTTTAGTTCAGACACAAAATGTTTACAGCAATTTAGGACAACATGTAAAAAGAGATATTTTGTTTGAAAATAACAAAGTCTATAACTAAAAATTTAATATTACTTTACTTACTACAGTAGACTCCCTCTAGTTCGGCCACCTCGGGACCGGACCACTGGCCGAACTACAAAACGGCCGGACTAACCGGATTTAGTGCATTTTACATAACCAAAATACAAATTATAGTACTGCGCAATCGTGATATGTTAAGTCAATAACCTTGGTTCAGTAAAAAAAACTGAAACGTTTAAAATCACACATACTCAATCAAAACAAAAATTACACAACACTGTACGTACAGCAATAAATCACGTAAAGAACAGAACAATAGAAAGTCTAGTACTGCAAGCTACCGTAGTTAGCATAGGCTACTACTAAATGTTGTTTCAGAACATAAGAATGTTGATAAAAACATTAGACAGTTCATAAAACAGCATAAAATTATAGTACTTATTCTTAAAGATAATAAGGACAGTCGTAAAATATGATAAAGATAACAATGGATGACGTAAAACACCGCTTATTCTTTCTTCTTTGTTCTTCTATTCTTTCTTTGCCTCTTTGGTTTCTCTTCATCCACACATTCAACAAGTTGCCATAGTTACTAATCACCCAATCACAAACTGTTGTGAGATAGCAAGCAAGTGCACAGCAGAAATCAGTTTGTATGAGCAGATGACTGTCAGTGCAAGGGGATAGCTTGACCTTGAAGCTAACGATGGCTATTTCTTTGTTTTGCTTTAATTTATTTTTGTCAAATAAACCGTGGTGTTTCAAAAACAATAATGGGGGAACCTACTGCATAAAAAAGTGGTCCGAAATATTTAATTAGACACTGCATTTCAACATATTAGACCGAAGAAAAATTATTTATAAAAAATGTTCTTGGTATTTTTGAGGTTTTTTTTTTTTTTTTTTTTTTTGGGGGGGGGGCTGGGGTAATGGCATACCCCTAGCTACTTCGGCCTGGAGACCTTTTGTAGCACCCTTTAATTCATTCTGACAGCCCTAGGCTCCTCAAGTAGCCCAGGAGCTGAAAGACACCCAGCTTCCTTATCTCCAGGAATAACCTCCCCAGAGATATAAGCCTTCTATGGGCCAACGCTGGACAGTCCAGCCATAAGTGTTCTGAGGTTTCTACTTCGTTCTCACAGAACCTGCAGAGGTCTGTTTGTGACCTCCCTATGGTCCTGAGATGTTTCCTGATAGGACCGTGCCCTGTTAACACTCCTACTAGCAGACTAATGTCCCCTTTCTTAAGGCTCAGCAAGTCTTTCCAGCCTTTATCAGTGGGGTCGATTAGTAATTTGGACGTCCTCATACCTGGGTGGTTCATCCAGGCCAGAGCCTTTTGAACCTTGACCCAGTCTTGGACTTTGGCTACTCCTGAGCTTATGGGGGTACCACAGTAGGGTTCTGGTCCTGACAGTTGGTCTTCCGCACCCTTCCTGGCCAATGCATCGGCTTTTTCGTTCCCCTCATGCCCCGAATGTCCAGGAACCCAAGACAATTTGACTTGGTTTCGCTCTGCTAACTTTTTGAGGGTGTTTTTACACCCTTTTACTGTTCGTGGCTGTGTCACACATGACCCCAGCGCCTTCAATGCTGCCTGGCTGTCAGAGAGAATAAGGATTTTACCCTTTCTTAGATTCTTGCTAATAATATTATTAGCACAGCACTCAATCGCCAGGACCTCTGATTGAAAAACTGTTGTTGTTCTGCCCAAGGCCAGAGATATTTTGGTTTTGTTACCATACACTCCCAGCCCTGATCTCTCATCCTTCCGACTTCCATCGGTGTAATAGACCAAGCATGCTCTGTCATTGCTGAAGTTGCACTGTTGCCAGTTGTCTCTTCCCCCTATTGCAACTTGGTAAGGAATCTCGAAGTCGTATTCCATTGTCATGAGGTCTGGTGTGCCTAGTTCCATGTCCATGCTTGGGAATCCCCTCAGGATGGACAGGTGGCCAGACTGCCTCTGTAGATTCAGCTCACCTCTGCTGCCCATTTTTAGTGCAGATATGGCTGCGCATTTCTTAACTTCCAGCCCTAGTGGGAGCATGTCGAGTATTGCCTCCATTGCAGCTGTGGGACAGGATTTCATGGTCCCACAGATACCCGAGCACGCTAGCCTTTGCAGCTGCTGCAGTTTCCTGCCAGCTGCTGTCTGCTCTGCCTTAGGCCACCATACTAAGGCTGCATATGTAACTATTGGTTTGACTATGGCTTCATAGGTCCAATGTGTGAGTTTGGGACTGAGTCCCCATTTCTTGCCAAAGGTTCTTCTGCAAGCACCAAAAGCACCTGTACCTTTTGCGAGTACATAGTCAAAGTGCCTGCTCCAGGTCAGTTTCTGGTCGAGGTAAACTCCAAGGTATTTTGTTTCCTTCACAAGTTTTACACTTTTCCCCTGAATTTTTGGGGCTGTTAGGTTAGTTCTCCTTCTCGTAAAGGAGATTAGCTCTGTTTTGTCAGGGTTAATTGTGAGCCCCTCTTTGGAGCACCACCCCTCAATGAAGCTAACGGCTGTCTGGGTAAGGTTGTTCACTGTGGCTGCGTGTTTGCCTCTAACAGTCAGCACTAGGTCGTCTGCAAAGGCTTGGAGGTCTATGTCTCTCCTGTCAGCCTCTCTCAGTAGATCATCCACCACAAGAGCCCACAGCAGGGGTGAGATAACCCCTCCTTGAGGGCAACCCTGTCGAGCAATGATAGCTGTCGAGTAGCCTCCCAATTCTGCCGTCACCACCCTGCTCTTGAGCAGGGCATTTAACCAAGCTGCTACGTCGGGGGAGATGCCCCTGCTTCTGACTGCAGCCTCTATAGATTTGTAACTCACGTTGTCAAAGGCACCCTGTATGTCCATGAAGACCCCTGCCATAATTTCCTGGTGTTCTAGGGTTTCCTCGATCTTTGCCACTAGGGTGCTTAGGGCCGTCGTTGTAGATTTGCCCTTCATGAACGCATGTTGGCTCGCACTTAGGGGGTTGATAACTAAATATGCATCCCTAATGTGGCGGTTTATCACTTTTTCCATAGTCTTTAGCATGAAAGACGACAGGCAAATTGGCCTGTAGGATTTAGGCTGGGCCTGGTCTCTACCTTTTTTCAGCAGAAACGCCACCCTTGATTTCCTCCAACAAATTGGGATGTAACCTAGGGCAAAGCTGCCCCTGAACAGAGCTATCATATGATTTAAAAGGACCTCTAGTCCTTCTTGGATGAGAGCTGGGAATATTCCGTCCCCGCCTGGAGACTTGAAAGGGCTGAATGAATCGACAGCCCACTTCACGACCTCCGGCTTGAACAGCTTACTCGAAAATCTTCTAGCCAAAGCAATGTCTCTAGGTGATTTCCTATTCCAGGGTATCAAGTGTTGTCCTGTTGAGTTGCCTAGTGGGGTGTTCCCTGGGAAGTGGGTGTTCATAAGGACTTCAAGAGTCTCCTCCATTCCTATTGTGTGACTCCCATCCTCCCGTTTTAATGTACCGAGCGGGTTAGGCACATCTCTCTGAAGGGCTTTTTGCAGTCTAGCTGCTTCTGGTAGGTTTTGAATCCCCTCACAGAACTGCCTCCAGGACTTCCTTTTGCTTTTCCTTATCTCTGAGTTGTACTCCGTTAGGGCTCTTGAGTAGTTAGCCCAATCCCTAGTTCT